CAATCTTTATGAACTTTTAATGGACTTTGGAAGGAGGGAAGGCTGACATGGTCCCCCAGAAACCACTGGTCTAAATGTTTAAATTTTATGTATGTCTTATGTTTAATGGTTTTAATTGATTTCCGGTTCATAGTTGAATGTTGTGATTAATTATTATGATTTCTTTGTGTACTGTATGTTGGCATTGCATTTTTGCCCTTAGTATGTTGTAAACCACTTTGAGTCCCCCCCTGCTGAAATATTATCACTATGCTCTGCTAGCCAGCTCTTGCCTTCTAAATAAATAAGTATTTATTTATTTGCTGTATTTATATACCACCTGAGAAAGGTGGTATATAATAAATGAATGAATGAATGAATGAATAAATAAATAAATATTTAGAAGGCAAGAGCTGGCTAGCAGAGCATAGTGATAATATTTCAGCAGGGCTAAAGTTAACCGCACAATGTAGATTCACTTGAGTACATCAATAGTGTTAATAGAAAGACAATTTCTATGTCCACTGAGACAGCATATGCTAGCTTTGAACAATTTAAGGCAGATATATGCAGTACTGAAAGTGAGGAACCGAAATATCAATTGCTTTTTTCCTGTCTGCCTTTTTTTGCCTTTGCGAAAATATGCAGCAGACCAATGTGCATTTCATATCTACTACTTTGCCTTGCAGATTTCACAATGATTTCATGAACATCCGATTCATTTCAAATATAAGGCATTGGCTTGCTCTTCGTCTGGTGATTATTTAGTATTCAAGGGGCATGTTTGAGATAAGAGACAGCCATTGCATTTGCACATAATCACAGTGGTGAGCTGCTCTATATGTATAAGATGTTCCTTTCTCAATGAGACTGTGAACATGGCTTAGAATGAGGTAGGAGTTCACTTTCACATCATGAGAAGTTTAGTGCCAGAAGTTTAGTGCCAGTCCTTCACTTGGGAACACATGAGTTAAAATATTCCCATATCATCATTGCAAAGGTGGTTTCATTGCCCATGCTTGATCAAGGGGAGGCATGGATCAGGGGTCCCCAAACTAAGGCCCGTGGGCCACTTCCGGCCCGCCAAGGGCACTTATCCGGCCCGCGGAGGATAAGCGTCCCCCCCCACACACTGCCCCTCCCTTGGCTGGCTCACGCTATCTGTCAGGCCCGATGAGCAGCGTGAGTCAGCCAAGGGCAGTTGCTCTGCACGGTCTACTCTTGCGTAAAGCACCTCGCGAGGTGCTTTACACGAGAGTAGGCCACGCGGTGCTGCTCCTCCCTTGGCTGGCTCACGCTATCTGTTAGGCTGCCCCACATTTCACTTGAGTTCAATTCCATTGTTGGTGGGGTTCAGAATGCTCTTTGGTTGTAGGTGAACTATAAATCCCAGCAACTACAACTACCAAATGACAAAATAAAAAAAATGAGTGAAGGACATACATTGGGTTGTTAGGTGTATGCTGTCCAAATTTGGTGTCAATTGGCCCACTGGTTTTTGAGTTCTGTTAATCCCACAAGGTTGTCTGTACATTGTGATTCTATTTACAGATGTCTTGTCTTTATATTCTGGAGTGGTTTCTATTTTGTATTATAGTATAAATCTACATTTTGCCTATTATCTGCCCACCTCTTTTTTACCTACACTCTTTCAAATGTACAGTTAAATTTAGATGGACGCAGAAAAAAATGTGCATTTTGGAAGTGTGATAATTCAAATCAGCGATGTCATTGACTGAATCAGGAATCCACGATTTCTGCATATATAATCCATAGGTGATCCTGAATTAGGTATGAGGTTAGGCATTGTGTTATATCATATTATATTACTAGCTGTGCCCGCCACGCATTGCTGTGGCCAACCTTCCCTCCCTCTTTCTCTCCTCCTTGCTTTCTTTCCTTCCTTCTCTTTTTTTCTTTCATTCTCTCCTTTCTTCCTTCTCTTCCTTTCCCCTTCCTTTCCTTTTCTTTCCCTTCCGCTTTCTCCCTGTTTTTCCTTCTCTACCTATTCTTGGACTGTAACTCCCAGCAGTCCTCCTGATCAATCTAACTACCTACCTACCTATCTATCTATCTTTATCTAATCTATCTATCTATCTTATCTATCTGGAGGATTGCTGGGAGTTGCAGTCCAGGAATAGGAAATTGGAAATATGCAGGGATTGGGATGCTCTCAAAGAAATCCAAGGGGAAGCAAGCTTGCAGCTTGGAAGCAGTGCATTTGGAGCATCCTCCTCTCCTAAAGGGCCTGGTCTATGGGATGCTGGGAGCTGTAGTTCAGAAGAGAGTGTGGATATGCTGTTGTGTGTTTTTTTGCCAGGGGGAGTTGTTTTTGTGCATGTGCTGCAGCGTCTTTTTGCTTTTTTGGCCCTTTAAGTCTCTTCTGTTGTGTTTTTTAGTGTTTTTATGAGTGATGGTCACTTGTTGGCCTGACAGGTGTGTTGTGTCCAAATTTCGTGTCAACTCATCCAGTGGTTTTTGAGATATGTTAATCCCACAAACGAACATTATATTTTTATTTATATAGATACTAGCCATCCCCTGCCACACTGTTGTTGTGACCCAGTCTGTGTATATCTATTTTGTGTGTATATATGTGTATATATGTAATTTAGCACATGTAATTTAATGTATTTTTTTGGCTTTTAAAGCCTTTTCCACTGTGTTTTTAGTGTCTTTATGAGTGATGGTCACTCGTCTTAATAAGTGTATTGTGTCCAAATTTGGTGTCAATTTGCCCAGTGGTTTTTGAGTTATGTTAATCCCACAAACGAACATTACATTTTTATTTATGTAGATTAGCCACTCTTGAGATAAAGTCAGTTCTTGGAATAGCTGGCTGGAGTAGCAAAAAAGATGGTTCTAGGGATGGAACTACTTCCATCAGCAGAACTGAAAACTTGTGCGCCAGTTGCGCCCGTACCTTGGGAAGTCAGATCTGGCCACAGTGGTCCACGCTCTTGTTACATCCCGAATAGATTACTGCAACGCACTCTCCGAGGGGTTGCCTTTGAAGACTGTTCAGAAACTTCAATTAGTCCAGCGGGCGGCAGCCAGATTACTCACTGGAGCGTCATACAGGGAGCATACCACCCCTCTGTTATGTCAACTCCACTGGCTGCCGATCAAGTTCTGAGCACAATTCAAAGTGCTGGTTTTGACCTGCAAAACCCTATACAGCTCCGGCCCAGCGTATCTGTCCGAACACATCTCCCTCTACGTCCCGCCTCGGAGTTTAAGATCTTCTGGGGAGGCCCTGCTCTCGGCCCCACCTCTATCACAAGTGAGATTGGCGGGGACGAGGAGCAGGGCCTTCTCAGTGGTGGCCCCTAACCTGTGGAATTCACTCCCCGGGGAAATTAGGTCATCGACATCCCTCCTTTCCTTTAGAATGCAATTAAAAACATGGATTTGGGACCAGGCGTTTGGGTAATCTGGCAGACAGATAAAGGACAGTGACGACTAGAACTGACAGGATTTGACAATGTGGAATGAATTTATGGATTCTGAGCTGGCGAACGTTGAGCATGAGATTGGCTTTATTGATTGTGATATATAACTGATTGTTTTAACTGTTTATAACTGTTTATATATGTTTATTTGTACTATTGTGTAGGCATCGAATTGTGCTTTTTATAAGCCGCCCTGAGTCCCCCCTCGGGGGTTGAGAAGGGCGGGGTAGAAATATGCGAAATAAATAAATAAACTGGGAAGGAGAGGTGCCAATGGGAGAACATATATATATACAACCAAGCAGAAGGGAGTATTGCTGTTATATTACATTGTGAACTTCTTGCAACTTTTGCTTTTCTTGTTTTCAAGTCAGCTTCTTATCCACCTCCTCCTCCTAGTTTATCTTGAAAAACCTATGATGAGTTTGCTCTAATGGGGATTTGGAATTTGTGTTATGACTAATGTGGCTACTGTTCGTTTTTGTTCTGTTGAGGATGCTTCACAATGTGTGTCTCACCCTGCCTTTAGAAAATAGCACAAAATGGAACAATTGCAAGGAAAAAAACAATTTTGCTTTCTTGAGCTCACGGTGACACAAACCAAACCTGATTTAGTGATGCAACAAGTGATAGGAAGAAGCTGGTGTGTTACTGAACTATGACTATGGTTCTCATTATGTAGAAAGTAGGCCTGTTTGATCAAGAAAAAATTTGTTTCTAAAATCGATTTGTAATTGGGGTGTTTTTTTGTTTCGATATTTAAAATAATTACAAAACTTTCCAAAAAAAAGTTTCGGTATTTACGAAATTTCGTAAATATTAACAAAACATTTTGTAAAGATGGGGCCTTTTTTTTTTCAATATTTTTTCAATATTTTTTAAATTTAATTATTAAATAATTTAGTAGAATAGGGAGGAGAAATTAAGGGAAGGCAGGCACTCACTCTGGCGGGCCCTCTCGCTCGCCGCTCGCCCTCTCGCTCGCCGCTCGCCCTCTCACTCGCCCTCTCGCTCGCCGCTCGCCCTCTCGCTCGCCGCTCGCCCTCTCCCTCGCCCTCTCGCTCGCCGCTCGCCCTCTCACTCGCCCTCTCGCTCGCCGCTCGCCCTCTCGCTCGCCGCTCGCCCTCTCACTCGCCCTCTCGCTCGCCGCTCGCCCTCTCGCTCGCCGCTCGCCCTCTCACTCGCCCTCTCGCTCGCCGCTCGCCCTCGCCCTCTCGCTCGCCCTCTCGCTCGCTTGCTCAGCCGGCGCGGAGAGAGGAGAGCTCCCAGCAAGCCAGGCGGCCATCTTACGTATTTCCGAAATGGACGGAAATACAAAATTTTTTGGCGCCTGCCGTTTCGATATTTAAAAACCCTTCCGGGTTTGAAAATATGTTTTGTTATCGTTTCGTATATGCAAAAATTAACGAATGTTTAACGAATTAACGAATTAACGAACGAAACCGCACAGGCCTAGTAGAAAGGTATTGATTTCCCCCCCTGCTGAAAGAAAACACAGTCTCTGTAAAAATGCATGAATTTATTATTCATTCTTCTCAACAAAGAATATTCATCACTAAGAATATTTCTATGTGGGCTCTTCTTTGGCAGGATGACTTTGATTCTACCATCACAATGGAGGAACAGATTCATCTTCTGTTGGAGGCCAAAGTGCAATGTGAGCAAAATATCTCTTCTCAGCTAGAAGCAGAAGGGGGTAAAGTATCTCAATATTCTAGACTGTTTTCAGGCATTGTTACATGCATTCAGTCATAGTTGCCGCCTCTGCGTGAAAGGGGCAGCAAACCTGCTCTGATCTTTATAAACAAGGTTTTGAAGGTGTTTGGCCTATTTCTGGAATAGGGTTCAATATGTTGGATAGCTCAGACCAAATCTGGAGCAGATGTCCCACTCCACTGACTTCAAAGCAGTCAGCATCCATTCCCTTTATTGAAAGTTAGAAGGAGTCCCCAGTGGTGCAATGGGTTAAACCAGGGGTCCTTAAACTTTTTAAACAGAGGGCTGGGTCACAGTCCCACAAACTGTTGGGGGGCCGGATTATAATTTGAAAAAAACATGAATGAATTCCTATGCACACTGCACCTATCTTATTTGTAGTGCAAAAAACACTTTAAAACAATACAATAATTAAAATGCAGAGCAATTTTAACAAATATAAACTTGGGGAGGTGGTGGGTGAAGCGGCCCCAAAGCCTCTTCGTCCGCCTCCTCCCCCCTTCTCCTACCTTCGGGATGAGGCGAGGCCCCGTCCTGAAGGCAGGAGAAGAGCAGGCTGGGCCCAGGGAGGCAGCAGGCAAAGAGGCCCCAAAGCTGCTTCACCCGCCACCTCCCCCCTTCTCCTGCCCTCGGGATGAGGCAAGGCCCCATCCCAAAGGCAGGAGAAGACCAGGCTGGGCCCAGGGAGGCGGCAGGCGAAGTGGCCCCGAAGCCGCTTCGCTCGCCACCTCTCACCCTTCTCCACCCCCGCAGACCGGATAAATGCCCTGGGGGGGGCATAGTTTGAGGACCCCTGGGTTAAACTCTTGTGCTGGCAGGACTGCTGATGGACAGGTCCAAGGTTCAAATCCAGGGAGAGCGCAGATGAGCTCCCTCTTGACAGCTCTAGCTCCCCAAGTGGGGACATGAGAGAAGCCTCCCACAAGGATGGTAAAACATCAAAATATCCAGGCATCCCCTTGGCAAGGTCCTTGCAAACGGCCAATTCTCTCACACCAAAAGCTACTTGCAGTTTCTCAAGTTGCTCCTGACACACACACAACCCTTGCATTTTGACCATCCTACTGTAAGCCACCTTGAATCCCATTCTGACAGAAATAGAACAAGAAATAGACCCAGGAAACAATTTCGTGAAGTGCCGTATTATAAAAGCCAACCTTGGAAAGTTTTTATTTGATAGACATTGGCATAAGCATAACAAAGACCTAAGCCCTAAGTCACAGAAATGTTTGCATCCCTGAAAACACTTCCCCCTCATTCTTGGGCATTCCTCACTGTTTTATATGCCCTTTTGTCTCTTGGGGTTTGGTTGAATATGACGGAGCCCCGGTGGCACAATGGGTTAAACCCTTGTGCTGGTAGGAATTCTGACCGACAGGTCAGTGGTTTGAATCAAGGGAGAGCAGGTTGAGCTCCCTCTGTCAGTTCCAGCTCCCCATGTGGGGACATGAGAGAAGTCTCCCACAACGATGGTAAAACATCAGACATCTGGGTGTCCCCTGGGCAATGTCCTTGCAGACAGCCAATTCTCTCACACCAGAAATGACCTGCAGTTTTTCAAGTCACTCCTGACAAACAAACAAACAAAACAATCCAAAAACACCCCCCCCCCAAAAAAAACCCACAAGAAGGCAATCTTGATGTCTGCTTTTACAAATTTAGAACTGAGTGCAATATAGGGGAAAATACCCTCCTTGTTTCTCATCCAAACACAATCATTTTTTCAGATAGGCCTTTATGTCAGGAACCTTCAAATGTCACAGTCATCCACAGGTTTATAATTTTCACACTTATTTTCCTCCTTTCATCCAAATAGCAAATACAGGTTGAGCATTTCTTATCTAGAATACGGTGTATAAAACTACTTTCAATACTTACTACTTTATCTTGGTTTATTCCTTTGCCATACAAATCTAGAGGTATCTTTTCCCATTATTTATATCTACTGTCCAAACAGATATTGTCTGAAGAACGTTGTCATTCTAGGTAACATGTTCATTTTATCATTGAAATACTCCTCAAGAGTGACAAATTTACTCTCTCATGAATTTCATGTTTTCACATATTTATTCTGAAATAACATACCATTTTTTATTTGTATTGGTTAGCACTAAGTATTTAACTTTATTCGCAACTTTAAAAAGAGTTTATTTCAGTGAGTTGCGATTAAACCTACATTTCTCTCCGACATGTTTTGTTTTTTATTATTAATTTGAAAACCCTGTCACAATGCTAATCGTTATTTATTTATTTATTAACTTTATTTGTATACCGCCCCTCTCAGCCTTACGGCGACTCAAGGCGGTTTACAAGGCAAAAATTCAATGCCACAAAATACAACACAATTTAAAACATTAACATCAATGAAATCATAACAACAGCAATCAAAACATAAGCCAGCAAATCCTCAGTAAAAGCATTGTCCAATTCCATCGTATAGTTGTTCCATTTTCCTATGTCCATTACTCAATATTTGCAAATGCTTCCCATGTCTTGAGTTTTTTCCAAAAACATTAGGAGTGAAGAAGCTGATCTAATGTCCTTGGGGAGGGCGTTCCATAGCTGAGGGGCCACCACTGAGAAGGCCCTGTCTCTCGTCCCCGCCAACCGTACTTGTGACGAAGGCAGGACCAAGAGCAGGGCCTCCCCAGACGATCTTAACATCCTCTATGGTTTGTAAGTAATTGTTCCATTAACACTTCTATATCCTCCAAAGGCTTTAGAAAAGTTATTATTAACTGCCTTAATTTGTAAGTTGCTTTATTTATTAGGCCTGTTTGATCAAGAAAAAATTTGTTTCTAAAATCGATTTGTAATTGGGGTGTTTTTTTGTTTCGATATTTAAAATAATTACAAAACTTTCCCAAAAAAAGTTTTGGTATTTACGAAATTTTGTAAATATTAACGAATTTTTAGAATATTTTTTTTGTATTTTTTAAGAATAATATTAAAATAATATTAAAAAATATTTTAAAATGGAAAATTAACCAAAAAATGGCCCAAATGTGGACCAAACACAGGCAGGAGACAGCAAATGAGAGCACACACCAACAGAAGAGTCTTTTCTTTTTTAGAATATTTTTTAAGAATAATATTAGAATAATATTAAAAAATAATATTAAAATAATATTAAAAATATTTTAAAATGGAAAATTAACCAAAAAATGGCCCAAATGTGGACCAAACACAGGCAGGAGACAGCAAATGAGAGCACACACCAACAGAAGAGTCTTTTCTTTTTTAGAATATTTTTAAGAATAATATTAAAATAATATTAAAAATAATATTAAAATAATATTAAAAATTATTAAAATAATATTAAAAAATATTTTAAAATGGACAATTAACCAAAAAATGGCCCAAATGTGGACCAAACACAGGCAAGAGACAGCAAATGAAGCAAGCAGCACTCACAGCAGCAAGGAATGAATCCAATCCCAGTTGCTAGCAACCATTGCCAAGCCAACCCAATGCAAACTCCCTCGCCCTCTGCAGCAATGAGCCGGGCCGCGCCGCGCGGAGCCGCTTTGAAAGGGCTCGCCGGCCAATCAAAAACAAACAGCCACGGACCCACAGTGCACTGCTTGGGAGCGCCGGATTGGCTCCCACTGGCACCAGCACTCCAGCAGCCTCCACCCCATTAACGAAACGAGCGGAAGCTCGTTAAATCTATGGGGGTTGCTGGTTCGATATTTTAAAACCCTTCCGGGTTTGGAAATGTGTTTTGATATCGCTTCAAAAATGCCTAAAATAACGAATTAATAACGAATTAACGAATTAACGAACGAAACCGGACAGGCCTATTATTTATCCTAATTTCCCTATTTCGTCTTATATCTCTATTTAAAAATTAAGCACCAAAATAAACTAAAGTAGGGACAACAGACATCCTTGTCTTGTGTGACCTTTTGCATCTCATTATCTTGATAATTTCTCCATTTACTTTGGTGATTTTGGAGGGGAAGTATAAATCTATTTAATCCATTTAATAAAGCTATCCAAAATTCATAACTTCTAAAGTCTGCAGAAAATAGTTCGGTAACTTCAACAGGTCCAAAGTTCTGCTTCCAGATTATTGATTAGGGGATTTGCAAACAAGCTCATGGCAAAGAAATCAGGTGGAAATAGTCCAGTCTTCTAAGAGCGGTCAGGAAAATTCCACAAAGAATAGATGGGCAATTAAGGAAATGCTGCATACTTGATGATGATGAAAGTCACCAGCTGTACACAAAAATATTCTCATTGACATTAATTATGTTTCTGGTTCACTGTTGGCTCATGCAATCAAGAATCTATTTTAAACTGCTTCATAGGTGGAAATGTCTTTTGTTATTGACCTGACTTTGGCTAATTTGAGAGCATGAAGCACTTTATAAAAGGGCCTTTAATGTTTACAATGTGGTGTAATGGGATAAACCTTTGTGCTGCTGAATTGCTGATCTGAAAGTTGGCAGTTCGAATCCACAGGACAGGGTGAGCTCCCGCTGTTAACCCTAGCTCCTGCCAACCTAGTAGTTCGAAAACATGCAAATGTGAGTAGATCAATAGGTGCCGCTTCAGTGGGAAAAGGCAAAAAGTTGCTCCAAGCAATCATGTCAGCTACACAATCAGGAGGTATTTATTAGGGCTGGGTAACCACGGAAAAATTTGTTTCTAAACTCAATTTGTTTTTAGGGGTTTTTTGCGTTTCGTTTTTTAAAAGAATTCCGAATTTTTTTTAAAAAAAAGTTTGAAATATACGAAATTTTGTAAATTACAAAACAATTACGAAACAATTACGAATCGATTCGTTAATGGTGGACGCGATTGCGCAATATGCTAAAAAAAAAACCTCCAAATGGGACAGGGGGAACTTCTGAAGCTTCCCTCTCCCTCTGTTGTTGACTGTTGGTGTGATAATTTATTTTTTATCACTGATAAAACAAACAACAACTATAAAACTTGCACCAGACATACAGAAATAATAATTCGAAACGATTTCGAAACGATTTCGAACCAATTACGAAACAATTACGAAATAAATTGAAAAATTCGTTTCGATTTTTAGTTGCTCCTGCATGGCTCAATATCGGATTGTAAGCTAATTTAAATACGAATCAATGACGAATTACGAAATTAACGAACGAAACCGCCCAGCCCTAGTATTTATGGAAGCAGGCTCCTTGGCTTGGAAATGGAGAAAGGGCACATCCCCCAGAGCCGGAGATGAGCACTGCCTCCAGAGTCAGAAATGAAAGGAGAAGCCTTTGCCTTTGTCTGTGTGTTTCTGTCTCATTGTATGTCATTGTAATGAAGGCATTGAATGTTTGCCTGTGTCTGTTTATATGCTGCAGTTGACTCTGAGTCCCCTCAGGTAGAAGGGCGGAATATAAATAAAGTGTTGTTGTTGTTATTTTACTGACAAAAACACAGTATGTCACAGCAAACAAGATATATATGCTGGATTTCGTATCACAAAATCACAAGTCGAACACTTCCCAAGCGTCTAGGACTGTGTGATGTATTTTCGAATGATGCGCGCAGATCCAAGTAAGGTGGCCTTTTGTAGTTGTCAGCTCGTGATTTTGTCAAATGTTTATTGTTTCCAAATGCCGGCTGAGATCTTTTGGCACGGCACCCAGTGTGCCGATGACCACTGGGACCACTTGTACTGGTTTATGCCAGAGCCTTATTATTATTATTATTATTATTATTATTATTATTATTATTATTATTTTCTTTGTGACTTGTTTTTTTTCTCTTTAGGAAGTGATTGCCTTCCAGAATGGGATGGGCTAATCTGCTGGCCCAGAGGGTCAGCTGGGAAGACAGTAGCTGTCCCGTGCCCTTTGTATGTATATGACTTCAATCACAAAGGTACCAGCTCTGCAATGCTCATTGGGTTTAATCTTTTATAAAATCTAGGTTGGGCAGAGCAGGGGAGAAACATCACTAAACTTATTGATGAGAGTCTTATTTCTTTCTCGCAGGGATGGCGTTCAGGCGCTGTAGCTCAAATGGAACGTGGGCTTACGTACTAAGCTTAAACCGAACGTGGTCAAACTATTCAGAGTGCCTTCGCTTCCTGCAAGCAGAAAACAGCCCAGGGAAGGTATTGGCTCTTTATCTAGTTTTTTTTTGTCGTGTGAGGAGTGACTTGAGAAACTGCAAGTTGCTTCTGGTGTGAGAGAATTGGCCGTCTGCAAGGACATTGCCCAGGGGACGCCTAGATGATTTGATGTTTTTTTATATCATCCTTGTGGGAGGCTTCTCTCATGTCCCCGCATGAGGAGCTGGAGCTGATAGAGGGAGCTCATCCAGCTCTCCCCGGATTCAGACCTGTGACCTGTCGGTCTTCAGTCCTGCCGGCACAGGGGTTTAACCCACTGCGCCACCAGGGGCTCTTTTTTCTAGTGAGAGGTTGGAGTTGTAAAGCTACATTTAAAACTAGGGCTATGATGGCGCAACGGGTTAAACTGCTGAGCTGCTGAACTTGCTGACTGAAAGGTTGGCGGTTCAGATCAGTGGGACAGGGTGAGCTCCCACTGTTAGCCCCAGCTTCCACCAAGCTAGCAGTTCAAAAATGTGAGTGGATCAATAGGTACCGCCTCGGCAGGAAGATAAAGGGTGCTACATGCAGTCATGCTGGCCACATATCCTATGGACAACACTGGCTCCTTGGCTTAGCAATGGAGATGAGCACCACCCTCAGAACCAGAGATAAGCAGCACCCCTCACGAGCCAGAAGGGGAAGCCTTTACCTTATCTGTATTTCCAGGCATTGAATGTTTGCTTTGTGTTGTGTATGCTGGAATCTACCCTGAGTCCCCATGGGGAGATAGGGTGGAATGCAAATTTATGATGATGATGATGATTATTATTATTGCATTTGAAGAGGTCATGCTGGTGCTGAAGATATTATCTGCTCCTTTGTTGTTGTGTGCCTTCAGGTCATTCCAGACTTATGGTGACCTACATAGCGTTTTTTGGGACCAAGAAAGTGTTCCTTGCTCAGAGTCACCCAGTGGGCTTTCATGGCTGAACAGCCCTTGATTCCGGAGTCATAGTCCAACATTCAAACCACTACATTACTCTGGCTTTCAAACTGTTCCCTTACTTGATTGCAAATCTTATTCCAAAACAGAAGTGAGGAAAGAGTGTTGCATTGCTTCATAAGAGCTAAGGCATTCATGACGATAATGTTTTAATGGTAATCCATACAGGCGATTTGATGGAAGAAGTGCTGCTCTGGGGTTATTGGATCTCGAACAGCTTCTCTTTGCTATAATTTCCAAGATTTATCAAATCTCAAGTGTCACTAGGTGAGAGAGCGCATTTAGGGAACAAAAACTCAACTCTCTCTCCACCCTGCTATATAATTAATAGAAATGGGCTTGTGATGACAAATGACTTTAAAATCAATTTTGTTTCCTTCTTCCCTACCCCCTCTGCTTTTTGAAACAATTTGACTGGTGATCAGGATTTGGAATTTATTGTATAACCAGTAGAGATTATTCTGCTTTTACCGTACATTACAATTGTTCACCTAGAAAATGTTCTTTTGTTGTTTCTTCCAGTGGGAATTCTTTGAACGTCTCTATATTATGTACACAGTTGGATATTCCATCTCTTTCACGTCTTTGGCTGTAGCAATTTTCATCATTGGTTATTTCAGGTGAGTGGGCCATATCTCAAAAGTAGGTCCATTCTCCATTCAATTTATGTGCCAAGAGTGGGGATTTATTTGGATTCTGAGGGGCAGAAGCTCTTGGGAAGGAACAAAAGCACATTGGGCTTGAGATGAAGGAGCATTTAGTTTAAAGTGAAAGGCAACACACTGATATTGGTGAGAAAACTTTATGTGGGTTTCAAAAGAGCTTGGAACCTAGAATCATAGAATCATAGAGTTGGAAGAGACCTCAAGGGCCAACCAGTCAAACCAAAGAACAAAAATGTATGTATGTAAATCTTAGCAGACTCTCAAGACAATAATATACAACAGTATTCTATGTTCTCTATTGGCATAACTTGTCTGAGACTTTATAGCATTAAATAAATATGTTATCAGCACATTAACATAGAGAAATCAACAACAGACTAAAGGTAATAGAGTCCATCCTTTCAGTGAAGAAATTCCAGAGTCTCTATCTTTATCTTCAAAAAAAAAATTCTTCTTTTGATAAGACAGTCTCAAGGAATTCTTCTTGGGCAACAAGGTCTTTCATAGGCAACAAAATCTCAACAAGGTCTTCCGGTATGTTTATCCTTGTTTCGAACAATATCTTCCTCAGGGTGTAGTCTGTATCTTATTATGCTTAGTGCACTAAATAAGGAGTAGAAATAACATACAACATAGATACATGAAACTCCCCAAAATAACATTGATTAGAAAAACATTTTGTAATAACAGTAAAGATACACGCTACTCTACTTACATTCTCTTCAGTAATACAGGTTCTGTACTACAGGCTCTGTTGTGGTAGGAGTTCTGTAACGAGCAGTGAGTCATAGCTGGGCTGTCTCTTAAGTAGAATTACATCTCACAAGAAACAAGTGTATTCAATTTTATCATTTAGTCCTAGAGGAACCAGTGTTTGTAGTTTGAAGATCCAAAAAGATTCCCTTTGCAGAAGGAGTTTTTTTGTATCTGCATTAGGTCTGGGTAATATTTTTTCCAAAGCGCAAAATTTAAAGCTATGGTGTGTATGTGCTTTTTCATTAAAATGTACATATAATGAAGAGTCAGTGGACCCATTCCTAATGCGTGAACGATGTTCATTTATCCTAATTTTAAGGGGTCTAGTAGTTATTCCAACATATAGTAATTTGCAGGGGCATTCTAACAGGTACACTACATTATCACTGGAACATGTTGTCAAATGTCGTAATGTGACATTAATATTGAGTGTTGGATGAGAGTATATTTTACTCTTAAGTGATTGCTGGCAGCAGTTACAGTGTCCACAGCTAGTGTGACCCCTAGTGGTAGGTTCATGGGATGTACTAGGAGAGTTATATTCAGAGTGGATCATGAGGTCCCTTAAATTTCTGGATCTTTTGTGGGCAATTATAGGTTTGTCTTTGCATCCAGGAATGTCCTGTAGTAAATGCCAGTGCTTTGAAATAATCTTAGTGATCTTGGATGAATATTGTGTCAGTGTCAAGGGCCATATTATGCGGTTGTTATGTTTTCTAGGGCGTTCCTGTAGTAATTCACCTCTGTTGATGGAGTTTGCCTTGTTCATGGCTGTGTTGAGTATGCTATTAGGGTATCCTCTCTCTCTGAGTTGTTTTTTCAGGATACCTGCCGTAGATTCAAAGTCCTTTTGTGTGCTAGAATTACGTTTCAGTCTTAAAAACTGAGAAAATGGTAAATTGGATTTAAGAGAAAAGTGATGAAAGCTGGAAAAATGTAAAAAGGAATTCTTGTCTGTAGGTTTACTATAATTTTTCACTAATAGTTTCTGACCTTTTTTGAAAACCATGACATCCAGGAAGTTAACATTAGTAGGGCTATAGTGGTGTGTAAATTTCATGTGTTTATGTAGTGTATTAATCCAGCTGTAGAATAGGTCAGCTACTGACTGTGATCTCACTACTGTAAATATATCATCTAGATACCTTCCAAAATAAAGGATATCTGAAGAAAATGGATTCTTAGTGGTATTAAAGATGAATTTATTTTCTAAGTATGCAACGAATAAATTGGCTATAGCGGGTGCAAGTGGGCTACCCATAGCGATTCCGAATGTTTGTAAATAAAATTGTTTATCAAAACTAAAATAGTTGTATTCTAGCACAATGTCTAGCAAATCCATGAGGAAGTGAGTGGGAGGAACTGGAGATTTGCGTGTGTCAAGTATATCTTTAACTACTGCTCTGGCCTCATCTAAAGGTATGTTTGTATATAGGGCTTCAATATCTAAGGTCATGAGTATGGCTTGCTCAGGTATAGTTAGGGCTTCTATTATATTGATGAAATGTTTGGTGTCTTTGATAAATGATGTATTTAATGGTACAAAAGGTTGCAAAAAATGGTCAATAAACTGAGCTAAAGGTTCCAAAATAGATGCAGTGCCTGAAACGATAGGTCTACCTGGTGGAGGAAAGGTTCTTTTGTGAATCTTCGGGAGAACATAAAACACTGGTGTTCTAGGGTATGGATTCTGAAGGAACTCATATGTCTGTAATGAAATATATCCCAATGAAAGACCTTCAGCACATACTGTGCGTATAAGGGATCTAATTTTATTTATGGGATCTTTAGGAATACATCTGTAGAACATGTTGTTAGAGAGATGTCTTTCTACTTCCTTAACATAGTCAATTCTATTCAGCAATACCACCGCCCCTCCCTTATCAGCTGGTTTCCAAATATATTGTGGCATGTTTGCTAGTCTTTTAATGGTATTCAATTCAGTCATAGACATATTCGGAAAGGTTTTGGACCTGGATTTGGATAGTCTGCTAATGTCCCGTTCCACAACTTTTTCAAATGTTTTTATCATCATATTATCAGTGTTAGGGTAGAATGTGTTTTTAGGTTTGAACAAGGTTTCAGGCTTGGAATTCGTCTTATTACCAAAAAAGTGTTTTAATCTAATAGTTCTAAACAACTTAAATAGTTCAACCCTGGTGTGGAATGGATTGTATCTGGGAGTGGGAACAAAACTTAGTCCCTTATTAATTAACTCTTCCTCTTGTGATGAGAGAGGGTAGTTAGAAAGATTTACCACTAGGGAGGAGCTTTTCTGTATGAACCCCTCTGAAAATGGTGAGTGGGTGGTTTAGATTTAATTCTATATGATCGTCGTGGTAGTATTGGACTAGTGGAAGTAGTGGAACTATCCGTAGACTTCCCTGGGTCTTCTTCAGTGGTGGAATAAGGGTCAAGAGAATCTGTTTCAAAGCGAACCCTCCTTTTCCCTGTACTAGAGGAAGTAGAACGGGTTTTCCAATTGTAGACCCTATTATTGTCATAATCAGCTCTGTCTCTATTAAACTTTTTGATTTTAAATTCCTTAATTTGTGAGTAAAGTTCTTTACATTTCTTATCAATTTCTTGTAGATGAGATTGGTTTTGTTCTACTTTATTTATGTCCTCTGCTAGAGTAGTAAGTTTACCCTCATATTCCACAGTCAGGGAATTAGCTTTCTGGATGATGAGTGCCATTAAATCCTTAGAACATTTGTTCAAAATCAAATTCCAATTATTAACAAAATCCATATCTTCTAAGAACATTCCCGGAGGTTTGTACACTCGGAGGCCCCTGGGTATCATATTATTCTTAATATAATCAGCTAGAGTAGACGCGTGTAGGTCCAAACGGATCAATTTTTTCTTAATCTTTTCATATTCCATTAAAGTGTTTGGGGGTTGTGCGGACTGAGCTAGGGATTGGTCATCTAGAATAGATCTGTTCTTAATTAAATCAGAAATGAATGTGTCATCAAAACTTAAGGTACCCCGGCCGTCAGCCATAATAATGGCCAATAAGCAAACAATGCACAAGTATCTCAAATGACATAGAACAAAAATGTATGTATGTAAATCTTGACAGACTCTCAAGAAAGTAATATATAACAGTATTCTATGTTTTCTCTATTGGCATAACTTGTCTGAGACTTTATAGCATTAAACAAATATGTTATCAGCACATTAACATAGAGAAATCAACAACAGACTAAAGGTAATAGAGTCCATCCTTTCAGTGAAGGAATTCCAGAGTCTCTATCTTTATCTTCAAAAAAATTCTTCTTTTGGTAAGACAGTCTCAAGGAATTCTTCTTGGGCAACAAGGTCTTTCATAGGCAACAAAATCTCAACAAGGTCTTCCGGTATGTTATCCTTGTTTCGAACAATTATCTTCCTCAGGGTGTAGTCTGTATCATATTATGCTTAGTGCACTAAATAAGGAGTAGAAATAACATACAACATAGATACATGAAACTCCCCAAAATAACATTGATAGAAAAACATTTTGTAATGACAGTAAAGAAACACGCTACTCTACTTACATTCTCTTCAGTAATACAGGTTCTGTACTACAGGCTCTGTTGTAGTAGGAGTTCTGTAACGAGCAGTGAGTCATAGCTAGGCTGTCTCTTAAGTAGAATTACATCTCACAAGAAACAAGTGTATTCAATTTTATCATTTAGTCCTAGAGGAACCAGTGTTTGTAGTTTGAAGATCCAAAAAGATTCCCTTTGCAGAAGGAGTTTTTTTGTATCTGCATTAGGTCTGGGTAATATTTTTTCCAAAGCGCAAAATTTAAAGCTATGGTGTGTATGTGCTTTTTCATTAAAATGTACATATAATGAAGAGTCAGTGGACCCATTCCTAATGCGTGAACGATGTTCATTTATCCTAATTTTAAGGGGTCTAGTAGTTATTCCAACATATAGTAATTTGCAGGGGCATTCTAATAGGTACACTTAAGGAATTTAAAATCAAAAAGTTTAATAGAGACAGAGCTGATTATGACAATAATAGGGTCTACAATTGGAAAACCCGTTCTACTTCCTCTAGTACAGGGAAAAGGAGGGTTCGCTTTGAAACAGATTCTCTTGACCCTTATTCCACCACTGAAGAAGACCCAGGGAAGTCTACGGATAGTTCCACTACTTCCACTAGTCCAATACTACCACGACGATCATATAGAATTAAATCTAAAC